TCATTTCCAGACCTGTTCTCTGTGGAGCTGTTTAAATGATGGCATTTCAGTCAGTGCCAGTAATTCCTGAAGCTGCTGCAGCGAATCAACGTACAGGAGACTCAGGCAAACGGAAAAGACTCCATCAACGCCAATGCTAACGCTACAAATGTGCTGGTCCTCCTCTGAGATACAGATGCCGGTTCATTTGTTGATAAGGATGGACATCTTCTATAGTTAGCTTTAGCTACATGTGTCTCTCTAATGTTAATTTAAACATACGTTTGGGCTTATGTTTTCATTTAATTAAATTTAGCTTTTTACTAGAAATATGTGTTTATTTCCAAATTATTCTATTGGCTCATATGAAATAAATTTCTGACTATTACAGGGATGCAAGCCTTAGGTTTGGAATTTATTAAGTTTTAACCAAAACAAATTGCTTCACTATTATGTGATGGTTTTATAATCAACTGATTATTATTTGGTTTTACAAATAAAATATTATAAAAAATATATAATATTTTATTGTATATTTTTATAAATAAATATTGAATATTTAATATTGGCTGTTAGATAGACATACGATTTAAATCACTCTGGACTGAGAAGTATGCTAGTCGCTACAATATAAAGATTAATTGGGAAACATAAACAGTTCCCAGTCCTGATAACCAATATCCAATCAACTTCCTCGAATCCAAACAGTGCAGTAAAACTAATTAAAATCACATGTTTACAGCAGACTGAAACAAAGTGGTTCTGCTGCTGCTGTGGTCCATACCTGAGGTTTCAAACATCTGACCCTATTGTTGTGGCCTGATTGCTCCCTGCGTGTTTTTCAGGAAGTCTTATCAGGCTCAGGAAAAGTGAATGAGCAGCTCTGAGCTGCCGAGCTACAGGATCTGAAGCTGCTGCACGGACTGAATTAAAAGCATCTCCGTTATTATTACACTCAGAATGATTGCTCCCCAGCTCCAGCCAAAATGCCTATTTCTGGCAATGTTTGCCTTAGGAAGGAACTTTCGCAGATTTAATGGGACCTGGGCCATTGTACACAGCCTTCTGTATGGCAGCGTGCCATCGAGTCCACAGAGGGAAAAAAACAAAAACGAAGGGATATCGCTCAGGTCACTTCAAAACAAAGCTGTACCATTGAGGTGACCTGAATACATTGTTATATTATATCTCTGTGACCCTGAACTATCCCTGGGTTTAGTCTGAACTCACAGCTTGGTGATCCGTCCAGTTCACAGGGTTCAACCCTTTACAACATTGAATACAAGGCTAGTGAAAAACCTTACCTACTTCTATCTTACATACTGCTAAATATACAGCTAACAACAAAACTTAGATATATGTTGAAGTTATTTAAAGTGATTGCTAGAATTAGCCAAAGTGGCTAATAATTAGAAATATTTTTCACCTTAATTAAAATGTATAAAATAAATGTAAATGTTCTTTTGTAGCTGGTGTTGTTACAGGGGCTTGTTTTGAGTTGGTTATTAAATACAAAATCCTACGTTTCTGAGTTCAGACCATCAGCTGACTCCAGATAAGGTGAATGTCTGGGGTGAGGGGAATAAAAACCCATCGGATTCTGTGTTTTCCTTCTGCGGCTGTGAGGTTTTGCCTCTTTGCTCTGCACAGTTGAGCAGAGTTAAAAGTATTAAGTGGTCATTGGCTGGACACGGAGTGTGTGAGACTCATCACACTCAGCCTCTCCTGCCCTCTGCTGTAAACACCCTCATGAGCAGCTTTAATGGAAACTCTTAAATATGACGCTGACTCACAGACTTCATTCGTTTACACCAGTGT